GCTCTTGTAATGTTAGGTGCAGATAATACAGCAGCTTAATTTTTCATATGTAACATAAGAAGAATGTTTCAGACCAATTGCACATTTTCATTAAATTTCTATTTGTGAGATTATATTCAATTTTCCTTTTATAGATATTCAGGTATGTAATGTAAACAGTTGCAACGTTTTGTTTGATTGTAGGAATAGAATTTGGTGAGCCTTTTAAATCCAAGGAATATTAGGCATTACATAAAGCATGGCAAAGAACTAATTGGCTTAAGGCATTATCTAAAATATGGCTTAGAACAATAAGGCATTATGATTGATTTCACTGATATGGAGACGTCACCATTGCCGGTGAAGGGCTGCAAATTTAGGCCTATGCTCGACACTCATGGCCATTGCGCAGGGAGGGATCTTTATCGTGCCACACCTGCTGCTACACGGGGCCTCGGTTTATACGGTCTCATCCGAAGGACCGCCCCATTTAGTCGCCTTTTACGACAAGCAAGGGGGTACTGAGGACCTATTCTAACCCGGATCCCCATGGAGCATTATGATAATATGGCTGAAAACTACCAGGCATGACGTACAACAGGGCTCAACCTGGCTCAGAACTATTATTATGCATTATTTACAACATGGCTCAAAATTATTAGGCATTACTTACAACATGACTCAGAACTGTTAGACATTTCAACATGGCTCAAAACTATTAGGCATTAATGCCTACATTTTTCAGGCTGACATAGTATATATCTCAAGTTTGTGATGAATGTAAATGAAAAGGAGAATTAAGTACACATCTTTTTCCAGAGTAGTTTTGTGATAGTTATTTAAATGCACCTAATTTTCCTAGAGTTTAGTTCTTTGTATTCATGAAATATTACTATCTAATGTTGTGAAAGCCTCTGATATTTATAAGGCAAGTGATAAGATCAATTGCATATCATAAATTTTATAGATTTACGCTGAAATTGGGCATCCTACTCATTATAGTTGACTTCAAGAAGAAAAGAGATCTAAATTTGGTGTCGGGGAGCAATGATCCTCTGGAAAATGCCTTTCTCAAGTCTGTATTTGTTGGAGCTTTCTGGCCATTGATTATATTTTCTAGTTATTCAATTGGAAAAAAAATGATCATTGGAATATAGTTATACAAAGGTGAAAATGAGAAAGGGGGCATCTTCACTGTTAAACAACATAATGTATCAATTCATATTAATTCTTGAATGAAAAGGAAAATACGAATTACTTATATATCACCATAAACCATCCATTGCCTAAGACTGGAATTACTAGCATAGTTTTGTTTTGATCCAATAAAGTGGAAATGAAAGGTTGGAAATTGCAATATGTAATCCAAGAAATGTCAAGAATGTTTTGTAATCATTCATAAATGAATATATTTTGGTTTTTAATAATTAAAGCAAAAAAGGAATAGTCAAATCTCATTTTCTTAAACGTTTGGGATTAGGAAATGCTTTCAGTAGAGATATTGGATATTTGAGACGTAGGTAGACATGACCTTCCAGATCAGTTCAGGTTACTTAAGATAACAGTTTTAGAAATACCAAGTTAAATTACAATTACTTCTAGAATCCAAGTTAACTCATAATAAATGCAACAGAATGTATGTTGCAAATAAACTTACTTAAACTATTTGGTTGTATTTGCACACAAGAAGTGACACAATTAAGCAAGTTCCTTAAATCCCTAACAATGTATCAATTAATTTTCAAAAGAGTTCTTACAGAAAGTTTATATGTTTTTGGATTTTTATACAGATTGCTCAACCTTGAATGTGCATTTGACTTCATTTTTAAGATGTTTGGGCTATTAAAGTTCCTCACAGGGTGCTTTTATTTTGTAACTCTGTTCTTATTATGTGGACTTTAAAACTTGGGACTGCGCATTGTCACTTCGGCTTACATTTAAAACAAATTTCACTTGGTGTATGTTTTTTAATCAAAATAATATTAAGAAGGGTCACGCACATATTGATAGCAGTGCATGTAATACGTGTATTCAGGCTCATTGCATATTATAAATAAATAAAATAAAATATTTCCATTTGATGTAATTAATAAACATCTATACCTTTAAGAATTTTAGACTTTGCTTTGCATTTTGGGCTACACAGTGGAAGAATGTGGTCATATAGAGCGGTAGAGCTCAGATGCACATACAGGTATCACATGCATTAATAATATTTATTGAAAGAATCTAAGTAAGAGGGAAGGGACTTAGTCAATTAGCACATAAATAAGATTAGTCAAGTACACAAGTATTGCAAGCATGGGTAATGAAATTGCAGCCAAAAAATCCTAGTTTGAAAATGGCATCTATAAGGTGCCAAATATCTTCCTGGCAGCTTAACTGGTAAGTATGATATACAAATTGTAATACTAGTAAATTTGTTACATGTTTCAGCTAATGTATCTTTTGTAGGAATATCATTAAACAAGACCAGTATGCTTCCAAAATGATAGTATTGTCTTTTACAGGCATTTGTAACCATCAGTATATAGTGTTGTACCTTCTTGTAATTGAATATGATTAAGAATTTCAAATTGCTCTGCTTCAATTGGCTAATTAGAGAGTGAATGAGTCGCCTTCGGAGATATAAAATTTGGTTTTTTCAAACAGCAGGACATGGCTTTCCTAGCAATTTTTAAAAAGGAATTATGATATATAGGTAGTTCTCTTGAGTGAAACTCCCCCTATTTGGTTTTTCTAAAAAAAAAACCCAGATCTTTAATTTTGATTAACTACAACCATTTACATCTAACTTGCCTTGAATAATGGAGAAACGAAAAATTATGGGGTAAAGAGCATTGCAAAGTTGCTCAGACATTTAGAAGGAATTAATAGACAGGTAAGTTTCTACAAGACAAAGCTTTATTAGGCATTGAGGAACTGGGCGAGATACATCACATTTGGTAAGATTTGATTGCCTTATGTGTTGTAAAACCTTTTCTAAATTAAGGGAAATTCAAAATACTTTAGTCTAGGTCTGCTGAAGGATATGCACATCTTGGAATCAAGATGTGTGCAAGGATCTAGCTGGGAAGGGAGGTCTTGGCAGTATTGGTTGTGGTCCAGTTGACTTGCTTTGCTTCCCCCCAATGTGTGGGGTGACTGCAAGCTGTGCCAACTTGCAGCCATGTGGCGTCTGCGCACACCAAGTCAACTGATAACTGAATGTTTGTGTGAAACTTGTAATAAACTGTCACCTTGTTGAAATGCTAATGCTAGTGTAAACTAAGCTAATAAGCTTACTCTTGGTGACAGTTATATATACTTTAGAACTTTACTACATCGTACACAGGTTTGAAATATGAAAAATGTTGATATTTGAGGTTTGAAATGTTTGATCTATGAAGTTTGAGATATTAATGATACATGATATACAAGATTTGATAAAATAAGTTGATATGCTTGATATTTGGAATTTGAGATATGACTTATTGATTGATTGATTGATTGATTGATTGATTTGATTTGAACAGTTTGTATGTGTGCTGACCCTCTGCGGTTATCCGGGACGGTTAGAAAAAAGAAACACACATTGTTGATGTTTGAATTTGGTGGGTTCGCCCAATTGAAATGGCGTCCAACAATTTTGTACTGTGCCACGGCCAATACTCGCCACAATAAATAAATATAAATTCTATACTGAGTTTTGTGTCATTTTTCTCTGTATAAATAACAAGTTTTACAGCAGCTTTGATGACGTGTTCAATTTCAATCTAATTTACTGATTCTTGACCATTCATTTTTAACGCAGTGCCTCGAGTAGTCCTTGTTTTCCAACTTCCCACAATTAAATTATGCGATGAAAAGTGGTCACATAAACTGTTATCAATTCGTTTAAGATTCAATAACTAGAAAAAGTCAAGCTTAATGTCATATGACTTCTATGTTATATGTCATGGAGCTGATGACATTATTTATTGAACGCCCCTCGTATGTAAAAACGTATTATTTTCCGATGCATGTTATTTCTTTCCAAATTTTACCTGCTTTTTTTACACATGTTGTTCTTTTTCTTTACAGTATATCTTAACCCTGAAAAGATATTTGTGTGAAACTATGTTCTGATTTTTAATAAAAAATAAAGTTTATATAGAGCGCTCTCAATTTGAATCCGCTAACTCGCTTAACAATTCAAATATAGTCGACTGCGTGGCGCAGTGATAAGTCTAAGAGCGTCTGCTTTAGAATCGTGGAGTAAAGACTTAATCCTTACGTTTGAATTCCATCTTGGGACGTGGAGACCACCCCTTTGGAAGAGACTGTATAAACCGATGTTCCTAGCATGAAAAAGATTTATCCCCGTTCATTTGCGCGGAGTGTAGAGTATCGAAAAATACTTGCAGCTCTCAACCGCAGTGGTGGCGTCTCCATATAAATGAAAAATAAGTGGGGCTTAAAAACGATCAAACAAGCAAACAGACAAACAAATTGAATATTTTCTAAACAGATATAGACTTGTATATGCTATTAAAATTCATCATAATATCACTATCTTATTGTAAAATATGTTCATTATCAAAAATCACAAGTTTAAAGAGAGCTCGACAAGGCCAGGTGTATTTTAAGTTCCTTTTTAAAACAAAGGAGTTAAGCACGTGCTCTAAGTTTAAAAGGCAGAGAGTTCATGAGACCCGATTCTAAAATCTATGTACATCAATACTTGTTATTCGTAATCAATAGTTACGAGAGGTAACATTACTTTTGGTGTCATCGGCTCTTATATTATAGAGGAAATAAATACTTTCTCTTTTTCAAACAAATTTAATGATATTGAACTTTCACGAGATGAAACTAAAGCCTGTTATTTGATTGAATTCTTTTGAATCAGCTGTTGTCCAATTGAACCTTAACACATCCTTATTTGGAAGTAAATTTCCAGAATTTGTTTCTTAAAGTCACGTGATCTAATTAAATTTAAAAAAACATATAAAAGTTTTGTTGACTTACATTATTTTGTAAATGCTTTTTTAAATTACGCTCATGAAGTTTAGCGTTTAGATCTGAAATGAACGCGTATCTAACAGAATTATGTCTAGCTTATTTAATTGTTTTGTGTCATATTTATAAAGTTAGCTGTCGTTGCCAACCGTACGTAATGAAAATTATATTATTAGGATACTAAGATTTTTGAAATGATAAAAGAAACATCAATACTATATTTAATACAAAATGTTTCTTTTTATTATTGTTTATTTATTCCGTTTGTACCAGCTGGCTAAAAAAGATTACGCCCATTACTTATGCTACAATAATAATTTTTTTTATTGCAGGAACAAGGAAAAAATGTGCTGTTACGGATACTTTTTCGATGGGATGTCGAATGATTGCAAAGGTATGAACAATTACAGAATAATTCATAAAATGTGTATCTGATACAGCAAATCAAAAGACAATCCTTGCAAAATCCTCTAGATCTATTAATATTGCATATTTTTTAAAAATGAAGAACAAAGATATCAAGAAAGGTTGAGAAATATTTGAGGCAAATTGTATCTTGTTATTTATTTGAATTACTAATGAATGAAGATAATTAAAAATGATAATATTCGTACACCTTTCATTTCAAATTGCATAATTTAATGAATTTCAACTTATAAGGACCAATAGCTAAATTTAAATTATACTGTTACGCTTTTTGTATTCTGCTCACAATATCGTAGGAAAATATTATTTACTAAATTAATATAGATTTATTTTGCGTTTTAGAATGCCCCTTGGGCTACATGGGTTTGAATTGTTCATTTCCGTGTAGATACCCAAGTTATGGTTATTCATGCCAAAACAAGTGCATCTGTCCAGAAGAATATTGTGACATTTCTACAGGATGCAAGGAGAGGAAAGGTTGGAATAAATACTGTATTGTTAAATATAACTTTCAATATATATATAGTGGTCAAATATTAATTGTAACGTTCCAGAATGAATTTCCTATAATCTAGCTTAAGTAATCAGTTTCGTGTCACAGATGCGTTAAAAATACTTTCATCAAGCTCTCTTTTATCTTTCTTATAATGCACCTTACCATTTGAAAAGGTCTTAATGCAGTTGTAGAAGGTCGTTTGAATTCAGCCAGAAACAATGCTGATTTAAAATCCAAGCTAATTCCAAACCAAACTGCACATCCTGCTAAAGAGACAATGGATAAACCAAACAAATCAAAGTCAGAATCACAAACAACTACAATCCTCATTGGTGCCGTGGTTGCTCTTTCTTTAATACTTCTTGCCACTGGGTTAATGTTTTCCTGGAAAAGGGTAAAGCAAACCTGTCTGAGAAATAAAAGAGAAGATACCAACATGCCAAATATAAAAGTCGAGCTGAAAAGAATAACTTGTGATTATGAGGACATGAAAGAAAATTTATATGAGGATCTGGACGAAAAGGAAACTTGCGATAACAAAGAGAAAAAGAATGAAGGCAATGCTGAAAATGATTACATTGACACTCTCAAAATCACAAAGATGGGAGGGAACAAAAATGATGAACGTGAATCTAAACATTTTTATGACGCTTTGAAATGACATCATGCTTTAAAACGTGTGCAGGAACATGTACATAGTACTCATAAATTCTTTTAAATGGTTATATAGCTAAGATACTAACAAGCGCATTTGGAAAGTGTGTGTCGTTAGGGGAAGGGGATGAGGCTTTTGATTATGAAACCAGTACATAAAATATTTCCAAATTATAAACCAGTTGACACATTCATCGTCCTTAACTAGAAGGCATCGAAAGAGAAAATCAACATGCATGCAAGAATCTTTCATGACACTTGTACGATCTTTAGATTATCAAAAACTATGTTACTTTGATCAACTTTGACAGATTTGACGTTTTATCAGAGTTTGGTTAAGTTGATAACTTCCTTCCTGATTCAGATGTCTCTCTTTGTCAAAGTCAATGAACAACCTATGTAATATGTACATTTACCAAAAAAATCAGATTTGTAATATCATTTTCGTTATTTCTTAATGAATTATGAAGAATAAAGTTAGGCTTAAAATGTCCCTTGATTTATAATACAAAATACAAAGTACATGTACTACTTGAGGCAAAAGACGAAAGATGATGAAGCAAAGGACAATCATGAGACATTAACGAAAACCAAATACTTAGTCTACCAAAATCTAGTGCAACCCTTGTATAAATCACAAAAAGCTTTGAGTTTAATTCACTTAGATTTAATTCTCATTTTGAAAAAAAATACTCTTTTACAAATATCTTATGGCGGCCTTTATCATTCTGATCGATATTTTTGAAATTTATATACAGGAAGCAAATGAATATATCGGTGAGAATACTCGACAGTGCATAGTGTATGTTTTTTATCAATACAATTTGATATTTGAAAATCATTTATATATATGCTTAAGATTTTGTTAAATCACATGACCATTATGAAATTAATAAACAACCAACCAATAGTGTCAATTAACAAAGTTAATATAAATATCACATGATTACATCTCTTGGGATATAAAAGAAGAACTAGTGACACTACTGGACGTGCTGAACATTTTCTGTTGGATTACAAAAAACATGTAGTATAAATCAATAATAAACACACTCACCCGCAAAGCGCAGCGGTAGAATGTTTTTCCGAGAGTAGTGGAGTAATGAGCTAATTCTTGCGTCGCAGGTTCGAATCAAGCTATGGGACGTAGAGGCCATTCCTAAGAAAGAAAGCATCCCATGTCGCAGCATAGCACGAAAAAGACCTCTCACTAAACTCAATGGTTCTGAATGTCAAGCATCGGTAAACATTTGCACATTTCCACCGACAAGTTGTGGCATCTCTAACTAAGTAAAAAATCTTCTTTGGAGACGTTAAACAACAAATAAACACACAAACGATTATTTGATCTTTACAAAACGAAAGACATAATGATATTAAGTGCTTGTTGATATGGCAAATTCAGTACAATTGCGTAAATTGAAGTTTGAAATTTCAGATAAAATTAAAAAAGAAAGTTAATGTTAAATTATGCATCTTTTAGTTCATTTTAAGATGTTTAATTCTATATCAGATATAAAATCTACAGGCAGTCTTCAAGATATTTTCTGAATTACGTATCAAAATGACTTGTATATATTTTTATATTGTTGTTGATTATACATGCAATATTGATGAAAGGAAGATAAAAAGATAACGAGACGATACATGTATATTAATATTCTACAGTGTAATTGTACTATAATTTAAAATGAATTATAAATACCATGACTATTGAACTCATAAACTTTAATTATCAAGAGAATGGACTTCCTGTTTGATTAAAGCAATTGAAAAATTTGTGGCAGGCACTCCTTTTTCTATAAAAAAGATAACTCAATAGATACACAGGAAATCGATGTTTGATAATTGCTCATCAAAAATGAAGCAGTCGCAGATGTCCCTTTTCTTGTACATAGTTTGTGTTACGTTGAAGATTGTGATTTGTTCCATTAAGAACTGCATTGAGTAAGATTTGCTTTCTGCCTTTTGTCTCACAACGTCAGATATTTTACCCTTGCCTCAACTATAAAAGTATTCAATATCATTAGCAATAATTCATATATCTTTTTGTAGATATGCACAGAGTGGAAAATGTAAAGGTTGGAATTTTCTTTCATAATGCTTGAAATATTGCCTGGCTTAAACAATTTTTATCAGCTACAGTTTGAAATAAAAGACGTATTTCTGTTTCAATCCGGGCATCATTTCAAAAAGATAATTGGTAGTTTGTTTCCTATTACATATACAAAACTGTGACTCATTTGATTGTACTATCATTTGTGTCAAAAATAACCTTATAAAATCTATTTAATTAAATCAATTTTATGGTAGACAATTGAATTTTTTTTTCTTTTAGAATGCCTCCCTGGGTTCGTAGGAGAACATTGCTCACACACTTGCAGGTACCCAAGTTATGGCAAGGGATGTCAAAATGTCTGTGAATGTGATCAATCAGTCTGTCACGTGGTCTCAGGCTGTTCGAAAGGTAAACGCCACAAACCTTGCATGGAGATATTTAAAGCAATATGAGCTGCATCGTTCATGTAAGATTTTTTTTGTTTCAAAATTGTAAATAACTACAACAATGACAGAAAAAACGTTAATAAGCTTCTGTTGCTCATATTTGTGATGGAAGAACTATTTTTAAGCATTGATTGAATCAATATTACATAACTGTCGTCCTGTACAATAATGATTTCTTATATTAAAAAAACTGTATTTTGGGTTGTATATAGAAGTCTTTCTTCTGTACTTTTTAATCAAGTTGATTACTAGAGATTTAACTTACATACAAAATTATCACAAAACACATTTTAACAGCTGAATAAAATTTTCAAAATGCAACTCATATTGCTTTAAATATTTTCATTCTGGTATTGATATATACACATACATATCTTTAATTAAACAGAGTTTTAGGAAAAGAAGCTCACAATTATCAAGTTAAAAAGCAGACGCATTTCTTTTCCATTTATGAGTTTCAGAATGTCAACCCGGTTATTTTGGAGTAAACTGCGTTTATGAATGCAGATATCCAAGTTATGGTGTCAATTGCCAATTATTTTGTTTGTGTGAAGAACAGTTCTGTGACAGGAAAACCGGATGCAAACACATTTCAAGTAATAATACTATAACAATTACTTCCTTGACATACGTTCTATTTGTAGAAAGTCGTCATTATACGTATATTTATCTCAATATGCTTTCAAGGCTTATCATGAAGTATGAGGAAAAAAGAAAAGTATTTTTTTAATATTAAACAAATGTAACAAAATGTTCACAAGAAAAATAAGTAGATTGGAAAACTTTTTTTTTTTGTATTTATATCTTATCTTTTTCAGAAATTTACAAAACCACAACTAGAGAAACAACTGCAGGGGCTAGGCACATGACCACCGTAAATCACACACCATTTCAATCTACTACTTCTCATGTTAATACAGGAACACAGCGTATTACAGTCTTAACATATTCTACCAGTAATTATCCAAATGAAAGATTCACCGCAACGGCATCATTTAGGAATATAACAGTATCTAAATCTTACAACTCTTCTTCACAGTCTACTGCATCCACGGGAAGATTCAGTAATGTGCGATTCCCTAGCAATTTTACTGATCAATTACTTATCAATGATCCGCTTTACCTAATTCTTGCAATAGGGTTTATAGTATTTGTAACGGTAGCTGCCATTTATGCAATAAATAAATGTCGGAAAAGAAGAAGAGTCGTTGTAAATGACTTTGTAAGGAATCGAAACATTCCTGTATATTACGAACCAATACAAGCACTTGAATATGATAAAAATTTAATTGGATTGTCTGTCCCTGAGTCAAGCACAACGTCCGATGACAAACATCAACAAACTGAGGCAAATCCGTACGAAACCATTGAAAACGACGAGGAAGATTCATCGAATTCACAAGAAGACAGATATCTCCAACAGAACAGTCAGTCATCAACACTTCTCATGCCTAAATGTGAGCAGCCTACTAGTGAAATCGATGGCAACACTGACTGTGATGGTTATCAGCGTCCTTGTCCTCCTGAAAGAGGACGTCAAAGACTACATGATGACAATAACGAATATTTAACCGTAGTTTAAATGGTTTCTACGAAAATATATACAGTGCACGGTTTTGTTCTCTTTTAAAACTATATTGTGCATGGTTTATAAATTAAAAGAATACATTTTCATTTTTTGATACAACTGATTGAAGTGTTTAAATTCACAAAGTAAGCAAACCTTCTCTTGGATAGAAGTATAGGCATTTCCTCATTGTTTACCTCCTTTACCCTTCACACGAAAATCGTCTGAAATTATTAAAAACAAATTAATTAAACGACTTTTCTTAAGAAACAAAACAATTTTGTTATGATGTTAAGGATTAAAGAATATTCTATTCCCATCTCTGAATCTATTGGAGATTTTTGGCAACAGATATAAAACAATGCGCTCATTTGATTTGATCTTGTATGGAATAAAAAGTATGATTATTTTAGTTTCCTTGTATTATTAGATTGACGACAATCATTAATTATTTTTGTTTTATAATTCCAGATTTTCCATATTTAAAGGGAAAATTACAATAATATCTATTTGTTAACAGTCATTATGCGGGCCCTTTGTGTTATCCATATGTACCGCATTTAAAGAATCAATAAAAATATATTTTATGCATAATCTATTTTACTATACGATTTATCATTTAATATGTTTTTTTTTAAATTAGAGAGTGAAATGTAAGAGGTTTTCGGAAATTTTGAAACACAAGCATTTTCATACCTAAAAACTTGACTTGATAATCAAATATATAAAGATTTAATTTCAGCATTTAAAGTGATTCCTTAATTAATAGTGCTACATGTCAGCCATATCTCAGTGAACTGATATTTTACAAATTAATATTTAGATACACCTGTGTATCCATTCATTTTTATTTTTAAAAGGCAATGTTTTTATTTTATTGCATGTTCTGTAGAACTATGTGTTACATGTACCTATATGATGTTTATTTTTCTTTCTTCTTCTTCGTCTCCTTTTTGAACCTGAAAATTAAAAATATTGAGAAAATTGAAGACTTACAAGCTGATCTCAGGAAGATAAAAGTAGAAGTTTCCATGGTTTTCAAGTTCTTTTCAATTTTAAATCGAATGTGTTTCTTTTGATCAAAACATTGAACAAGATATTAATTGTATATGACGTCAGAAATTATTCAGTTTGGTATGGTTACTCACTGTAGGAATCTGGCATCCGAGGATAGCTTAAATATTAAAAACCAATACAATATTGAATGTCTCCGTTTTCATAAAAAAAGAATTTGTTTGCTATAGATTATAAAGCATTCATTAGAGTGTTGAGAAATTATGTAAAATTCTTACACGTATAAAAGTTTGAAAAACACGCTACCTTTCTGAAAGCGCATTGTCGCCCTTATCCGTTTCCATTCCATCTGAAGTAGCGGTGTCAAGAAGGTCTAAAACAAGGAAGGGACATAAAAGTTCTTTTCATTTGCTATAGTATGTTTTAGAAATATCTAACATCGCGAGTTCAAATTCCCTTTTCGGTCGTAGATTTTTTTTGTCAATCGGATGAGATCGTATCACCGAGGTTTAATGTCGCAGTAGATTATGGCATGAAAGAGATCCCTTACTCCATGAACAGCTGAATTGTAATTTTAAATGTTGAGAAGGCTCCTTATATAAGCAAGTTCTGAAGTCTTAAAATGAGTGAAAATTTCTTGAAGTGATGTTAAAAAAACTCTCCTCTTAACAAAAAAAAAAATTCTGCAAATTTATGCATATTTAAGTCATACTTTTAATATATCTTGTATAATTAATCATATTGACAATATAATCAAAATGAATAAATAGTTTAAGTCAATTAAGAATCATCTGCTAAGGAAGTATTAACAAAACATCAGACTAAAATTAAAAAAAAAATGATAGAGGGACAAGCTTACCCGAATGTATATGACTTGAACTTCCACTAGAAAAAGTAAAAGAGAGCATTAAGCTAGTCTTTTACAATGAACAGGATTGAGAAAATGAAATTCCTCGTATGTTCTTAACATGTATGTAAAGAAAAAAAAGACAAAGTTATCAAAGATTAGAATCAAAGAAAGGTAACTCTTGGTACTGTTATCTTAAGAAATGACCCTACCTGCTATATACATGTTTCGCTGGTGTTGCTCTGTACACAAATTCTGAAAAAGAGAGAGAAGTATCTTATACAATGTAATGCCTAGTCAATATCTCTAAAATATATACTATTATTTCCAGGAAATGGTCAAATCTAATAACTGTTTATAAAAAATATTTGTAAATTTCCTTTACAATATCTCTCCGTTAAATTGAGGTTGAATTGGCCTTGTTTATCAATGGTTAACTTATCACTGGGTTGCATTTTGCCTGAAGTGTTTCGGATAAATTGATTGGGTTTTATGCTAAATTTGACTGCGGATGTTCTAGCTTAAGGAAATTAACTAATTAAATAAATACAGAGGATTCAATGCATGTGTGCCCGTTCAACAGGGGATGTTTACGCACCTTAGCCTTTGGAATTTCTGAGGATCAAAGTTTATGTTCTGTTTGCAGTTTTGCTTGACCCATGGTCATTTTGGCAAGTTCAAGGTCACCAAAAGAAAAAAGTTCATTATTTGTGTTCAATCCATATCTTTCTTATGCAATGACTTGAATATACTTTAATTGTTTTTAATTTTTTTTTTCAGATTGATTACTGTATTTTCTTCATCTTCGAAGTTTTTGTTCATTAAGTTTCGAAGTTACATAATAAAAATTATACTTAAATGTAAAAACTTAATGTATTTCCTTTTTGTTAATATTTAAAGTTATTCTCATTACTAAAAGAGAAAAAGAATTAAGAAACTGAGAAAAGTCATGTACTTTTGTATCATTATACTAGGTTTAAAAACCTGGTGCAAATGTCAGAATTAGCAAAATGTGCAATTAAATGTTGTCTAACAATTACTTGTTTGAGAAGGAAGAGGTCAGATTCTTTTTTTTCTCATTATGATATATCATACGAAAAATGGCATTTTTATGCTAGCATGATTATTCCATTTTTATTAGTCAACATCCTTACCGTTGCCATAGAACGCAATTGGTGTTATGTCACCACTTGTCCTAAAAAGAAAGTTTAGAAGTACATTAGAAATATATTTCTTGATAACATTTTATAAACTTAGAGAAGAATACTAAATAGTTATTGTGTGAACTCTAACCGTTTTTCTTCAATTATGTCCTCTTTGGTTGAAACAGCTGCACTGGCTGAAATGAATATAAATGATAATCATTTAGAAAACATTCAATTGCTTTAGTCCCTTCTGCTATATTCTTTTTTTCTCTGATTGATATCTACATCACATTGAATTTTGTGGAGTGTCATTTATCAATAGGAAGATATCATACTTTTTTAAAACATAAATTCCTTAACAAGAAGTTATAATTTTACGATCAATATTTGCGTTATATTAGTATTCAATAAAAGTTGTTTTTGTAACTTACCATCGGATGGTTCATTGGTCAAACGTAAAGCCTCTTCGCCATTAACTCGAACTTGTCCTTGTGAATTTTGGTCTTTTAAAAAAAAATGAACAACGGTAAAAAAAAATTGTATTTTTTTATTTTGATTTTGATTTTTTAAATTAAATAGCATCTTTTTCAAACATTTTTTTTCAAGTTAAGATTTTTCGTTTTCAAATAGAAACCTTTTTTCATGATTTAGAAATACAAAATTTCCTGAAAAAAGATGATATTCTTGCTAACGTCTCTATAATTAATAAAGACGAAGACAATGAAAATATATAATTATATTTCTGCATACCAGATGTTCTTCTTGACCACCAGCATATAACAGCGATCACTATACAGGAACCTATAGCAAGGATAATTGCTACAATCATCCACTCATTGTGTGAATCTGTTGAGCTGAAATAAGCATTTGATTGTGTTGAGCTGAAATAAGCATTTGATTGTCTTAATAAAGTATCATATCCATAAAATAAAACTCTGAAGGCAGATATATCAAACTACCTTTTGCAGCCCTGGACTGTATTTTCTTTTCTCCTCTTCACATCAAAGCATTTGGAATCTGAAAAAGAAATCCTGATCATTTTGTTTATGATTTTTTTAGAATTAATAATGTTTTAATACAATATCTTTTTTGGAAGAAAGCAAAATTTTCATGCTCTTAATCTCTCACAAGACCCAAATTTAAATATTTCAGCTTTCTGTTTTTTGAAAGTAAGTTTGTAATTTTTTTCATATGCATTAATGATTCAATTACAGATTGAAATCTGAATGTTTTTCGTAATGTTTACAACATAAAAATAATTTTTTATATTTTTTTATAATACATAAAAATAATAAACACTCACATTTGAAAGACTCGGAGGAATTGTATCTAGGTGGGCAGGGGTCATCATCCGTTGTGCAGTCTTTCTTTACATCGTTGACAATTTTGCCAATTTCTGTATCATAGTACCCGCAATATCCTGTTATCATGTAAAATACATGTAGTAACATTTTGCACATGTAATTATAATATGGAAGACAACAGTATTACAGTACGTAGAGAATCCTAAATAATTTTAGTAAGTCAGTATTCCATTGCTCAGTATTTTTTTAAAAATTGAAGAAAGCATCGTATATATATTTCACACTTGTTCTAATAATCGTGTATCCCAAAACACATTACTCTAGAGGGCATGAGATCATGTAAAAAGTGATAGAGTGTTCTCGTCATTACATTATAGTCATTACAAGATATGTATCTTTTTACTCAAAGTATTTTTTTCTCCAGTTATATAGCATTTTATAGGAGAGAACTATCTAAGTTTTTGGTATTTGAGTTTAATCCTTTTGACATGTTGTCAATAAAAGTTGTTCAAAACAAAACAGTGTGACTGTTATTGTCTACAATGTCGTTTTACCTATATGAAAGTATATAAGATAGTATTTTTTATACTCTGAGTCTTGTAATGATGTCAGACAATGATATACGTGTATCATTCACAAAATTCAGTCATTGTGTTCGATAGTTCCATGTGGTCTTACAGTATCTTATTATCTATGGAAAACTGTTATAGTGCACATTTACATGTATAATACAAAATTTATCCTGGATTGGTTAAAGACGCATGTAAGGTTATTCTTATAGAAAAAAAAACTTTACTACATGTACCTCAATATAGAAATTAACAATGTACATGACAATATTTCTCAGAAATTAATACATACTCATTCAATAGATTAGACTGTTTAATCATATCAATTGCCATTCTTTGTACCGGTATATAGAAATACTTAGCAATAATAATCACAATGCTCCTGGACGTTGAACTTTGTTAGTTTTTTAAATTTTATATTAAATTTAAATAAATGCCCCCTATAAATAATGTTCCTTTCATAAAGAATTTAAGATAGAAAATTCATGACATGTCATTCATAATAAGAACATAAAAAAGAAATAAAAAGAAAATAATAAGAAAATAAAAAATAATAAGAAAAAATAATGTTTAAGTACAACCCCTGCTGCTGATATAATTTGTGGTATTACCAGTAAGAATCCATATTGGAGCACAGACTTCCACCGTCCCATTTTCCCACTGATTCACTAGACAATGGTACACGAACCTCCCAGGCTCAGGGACACAGGTCTGTAGATTTGCAAGTGCATCACATCTTTTCTTCTTGGCAGCATTCTGCCATGCTTCCTCTGTCATCGGACATTGTTTCACTTCTTTTATCGTTGGAAATGATTCGATGCATTGTTTGGGATAACAGGTCTTTATCTAGAATTTACATAATGAAAATATTAAAAACAGAAGTATTATACGTTAGCTAAAAGAAAGTATCGTTCTTTGTAAATTATATGTACTATAAACATGTTTTTTTTTTTTTTCTAGCTTGAATTCAATTTCATGTTTAATAATTTTAACTTTTTTGTTAAAAATATTTTTGCATTTAATTTGCAACACATGCAATCATTCCGATGTGTTTTTTTTTTTTATTTAACATGTAAGATCATCAATAGTTTTTGTAATCAGCGGTTAATATTTGTTGGAATTTGGCATTGAAATAATGTAAATATAAAGACTGTGGTTTTTTTTAGACCAAGCATTATTGCATTCATATATTTGTTTGGTTTATTACCTTGAGGGTGAACAATACAGTTGAAACCAAAGCTAGTTGATAGTGTAGAGTCATTCACGGGTTTCCCTACTTAAAAGTCTGTAAACAATCAATGTAGGTCACATTTGAATGCCAGTCAAAACACCGCGGTCGATATCTAGAATGAATGTATTATATACAAGATCTGTTGACAATTATAGTAAAATCTTTGTATATTAAACATATAATACATGCACATTCTTACTAATTATTCACAGATAAAATGCTAATAATTTATGTTACTGGTTAAACAGTTAAAAGTTACTTACATCGCAGAAAAATCAAAGGAAGCGCTACTCCTGTTGTAAAATGGCGTACATGTATTATATTTGTTATTCCTATTGCAAAATCTAATTAAATATACTACTTTTTAACAATTTTGGTTGGCAGATTTTGCGGTACAACATTCACAATCGCACATTAATGTTTCTTTATCCTTTCCTCCAGCAATGACCGCTATGAATGCATCAGATATACGGCTAGTCTCAAAGATCAAGTGCTTTTTAAAAAACATAGATAAATGCGGATATAAGCTTGAAGTGTTCCGGAACCTACCGGCATATACTCAATTTGTATAAGGGACAAGCACAACTTAACAGACTAAAAAGACAACGGCAAATAATGGAACAGAAAAATTAAATATTTTATTCTTTTGAATTATAGTAATAAAATTACGATCATATATAACTTTTACGTTTTCACTGTTGAAGCTGTAAGCTAGGACCGTGCTATACAAAAAAAAATACATGTATGTGAAAAATGAATGAAACACGGACCCCTGAAAATCCCAGAGGTGGTTCAAGTACCTGGAGAGTAATTAAGCACATCCTGTTGCCCCGTTACACCCGCATTTAACTCTTTATTAGGGGCTTGGTGTAAAATGCGGAGGATGGAGTCGCCACAAAACTCCAAAATAGAGGGTCAGAGAGTGCAAGGGGTGGAGCCTCTTGTGTCAATTTTTATTTTAATTTTACATTTGCCCGTTTTATCTTTCAATCATTTTAGAAGCTAGATACAACTGGGTTGCTTGTAGTGCTCTCCATCAGTGATAAAAAGTTCCTGTCAGAATTAATTACTGAGTCTAGATACTGGTATGTCCCAAAAATTTTATTGCAGATACATGTAATTATGTCATGCATAAGATATCGCAGATCACTTTGTCTGCAAATTATCAACAATTAAAAAGTATATTTCACATTGCTGTAAAAGCTACAAAAGCTTCTGTATGTGTAAACCACAAAAAGAAGATACAATTAAATGACAACTGAAAATGAAATTTAGCAAAAAAAAAGGTAACATGACTTTCAATTATATCAACAACAAATGAGGGGACAATTTTTGTCATCTTTCCCTAGAAGTTTAGGTAATCTAGCCCTTAGCAATTTTAACATTTGGCCCTTCAGATATTTGATACCTATACTTATAAAATCTGTCAAGACCTCATGGGTTACTGCGAGATAGCAGTGTGACTCAGACAGTTTCCATTGCACTTAGCATCTGTGATATCGCAAAACAAAATTTAAATCACAAGCACGGGCTGCATGCCCCTCATTTGTTTCTCATATCTATAGGTCATTTCGATTCTCATTTTGTTGTCTCTTTATCATATTGCTTGTTTCTTATTCTTTTTAGAGCAAAAAAATAAAATAAAATAAAAACAGTTAATGGCCAGAGTTCTCTAATAAAACAATCAGTTCATTTACTGAATCTATTATTTAATTATTTTTAATTTTTCTAAAATGAGATAATATTTCTGAGTGAATAATGACATCACGGCACATTTCCAAAATCGGACAGTGTCTACGACAGCAATCAGATTTCAGATGGTAATAGGTGTTTTGTAATGAGGCCGATAGTCATTGACACCTTTATATACATATCAGTCTATTTATATATATCTGTATATGATATCACCAAAAGATAATAATTTTGATGCTATTCTGTTTCAGTCAGTCTCTGTTATCGTTAAAAATTAAATATTCAGCAAAGCTGTTCCAGTCGTTGAAATGTGGTGTTCATTATTTTTTTATCACTGTTTCCTGTTTCTTTGTTTCTCATATAGTATTTTATGGACTTTATAAACAAATGTCATCAGATACTGTCAAATGGTCATCACAAAACCAGGTTGGGAGATATAACTGACTTTCATTCACTCAACTTCAATGAAATTATTTTTTTTAATTGTTTGGGTAATGTAACACTCTAACACATTCTCACGGAGTATCAGAAAATGAGATGACAGATCTAATAAGCACGTGCTAAATTTACGACAAGCACTATGCTCCACCTCCTGCATCATCTAACACAAGAGGCTCCACCCCTTGCAATCTCTGGCCCTCCATTTTGGAGTTTTGTGGAGACTCCATCCTCCGCATTTTACACCAAGCCTTTATTAGGTCAACGGATCATTTGAACGGAACTTTCCGAAGTTAGGAACTGCGAACAATAGTAATGTTCTCCTGACTTCCTTCAAGTCAATTTTCAAATGTTATACATTACATTTCCGAATGATTTAAAAAAATACATATATTTTTAAAAATATTAAAATGAATTTTCTTAAAAATTTATTTAGTAAAATAAAGAGAGATAGCTCCATAATTCTGGAAAAGCTGTGTTAATTTCACTATAGAAAATCAACAGAAAACGGAAAATATCTTTTAAATACCCCAAACCCTGTGAAAAAAATTCCATTTTACGGCTGATATGGACCGTGATTTTACAATTTCTTTTGTGTTTCACGGGAGAACATATGTTTATATACACAAAAACGACAAATATTGCTTATTTTTCACCAATTTCAAAGCGATTTACAACTAAAACAGTGTATTCTATTAAAACATTAAGGTGAAATTTATTTACGTAAATCATAAGAGAGGATATTTAAGTTCAAATTAATTTATTCAATCAAAACGACTTGAAATGCATGGTTCATTAGGACAATGAAAAATAATTTACAGCATATATGTTCAGGTCTGGGGTATAAGTAAATGATAATTATACATAATAAGGGAATGAAATGGGGGAGAAAGAAAACAAACACACGCACACACCCTCACACCCACACATGACATGTACATGTAATCATGAAATAAATGAGGTGGAAAAATCATGGAGGACAGATTAAATCATACATTTTTAAAATAAACATAGAGTTTTTTAATGTCTAAGCATTTTGTTTTGTCATCAGTTGAGAAAATTTAAGAATATTTGGTCTAGTTAAGTAAGTATATATAGTTTAATTTACTTTTTCCTAATGTTTGACAATAAGGGACATTCAAGTTTAAAATTGATTTATTCGTCAGCAACATGTTTTAGCATTACAAAGTGTACATATTAATCTTTCATTTTAAAATGTTTTACATGCCCATCTTCCCAACTCAACTGGTAATCGGTGATTTGTAGTACGGAATTTGACAAGTATTTTTATACATTTAATGGCAATATACTTAAATAATTTTCACTCTTAAAATTTGTTTTAAATAGCTTTTACACTATACCTTTAAATGAACTATTGATATCCGAATGCCATTTTTGTATACAGTGGAGCCTCATTTATCCAAACGCTTTGGCTCCTATTGAATTTGTTCTGATTCTGGAACCTTTGCTTAACAGCAGTTACTTACCCAATCTTGATTAAGATTATAACAAAACTGTTCATTCGAAATATGAGATAGTCTGCATGAATCAAAACTAAGATAAACACAGTCACAATTTCAGATTGTGAATTAGCAATTAGATATTGATAGGGATGTCAACGAATATTCGAATATTCGAATATTCATTCGATGAGTTGATATTCGAATATAAATTTATGATTCGAATATTCGTTTTTAAGTATACATGCATTAAAAAGAGAGAAAAACCTGGCAAGTTTTATTAGAAATTGAATCAAGTTTGTAAAAAATTAAAAAAACAAAAAACAAAACACTCCTCTTGGATTACCTTAAAGGTGTGAAGAGTGTATCTATTAGAGTAATTTATTTATTTGTTCACTTAATTAGTGCTTTAATAGTTTCCAGTACCAACAATCAGTTTGTATTGTTGTTAGGGCCCAGGTTTACAGTAAACACACGGACTTCTTGTTTATGTAAATAAATCATTATCAGGAAATTATAATTAGCAAAAAATAATTGCTTTTAATATTTCACCATTATAGATAATTGTTCTGCTTGCTATAAATTGGTAGGAGTTATCAGTGTAGACTTTAGTTAGACATTCAATTAATCTGGAAAAATATAAAAGAATCTTTTGAATTTTCTAAAAACAGTCATTACATTTTGGATGTATACTATTCAATAATTCTTTTAAAATATTTATTTATATTGCATTTTCCGAACTCTACATGAGTTTTTATTCCAAAATAATGGCATAAAACCTATACTGCTTTACAGGAGAGTGAAGATATATATTTAACTAGGGCTAATTGTAACGGGAACCGTTACAGATGTTCCCCAAACGCTCCCCAACTCCCTTTTGGTGCCATACTCCCTTTAAGCTTCATTAAAAATGACAAACTCTATATGCATTTTACACTTTAACAACGTTTCCCTGAAGTATACCGAGTATATTCAAATTTTAGCATTTGCACGCGTGCACATGTAAATGCATATGCGTAATGACCATATTCTCTTGTCTACATTATCTATATACATTAATATAATAAAATAATAAAGCATTTAATCCAAAAGTATTAAAAAATACGCTTCATCAAATGTATTTTTGATTTTACCCATCTCACGTGCATGCACGTGCATGCATGTGCATGATGACCTTACCTTTTTGTAGGAATCCACTATGTCTATCTATGTTCTAAATCCCATCCTGTTTGGTTGAAAATCAAAGGAGTTATACCCATTTAAAGTTTAAGCCAATCAAATTGCAGCGCACGTGCATGCGCGTGTTTTCATGATACCTGCTATATATTATATTGTAGTATATCCTAATGCATGACTATGTTTAAAATTTCAAAGCATTTCGTCAAAAAACAAAAGAGATATTGAAATCTTTGTTTCAGCCAATCAGAGGGAAGCGCACGTGCATGCACGTGAGTTCGTGCTAATTTGACCATGTCATATTATCTAGACTATTAATATATCCTTATAGAATGAGTTTCAAAGCATTTCAATAAAAAATGTAAAAGTTATGGCTATAATAAGTATATCAGTCATTTCACTCACTTCACGCGCATGCACGTGCATGCGTATGCGCGCAAAATGACCTTCGTTGTGCACACCTACACTTGACACCTATTAACCCTAAAAAGGTTTTAACTTAGTTGGGTGAACAGTTTCTGAGAACACTCGCGGACAAAAAAAGTACCGGAGAACAAAGAAGAAAAAAAAGAATAATAATAATAACTAGAGCCGAGCTCGTTGCAAAGCAACGAGTAGGTCTTCCGTCCTGTTTGACCGGACGGCACCTGTTACTTTCATTTTTAAAAAAAAAAAGAGTAATGAAGTCCAAAAATGGCTTAGTCTTCCAAATCTTTATGAATTAATGCAATATTAAGCCATTTTTAGCTACTTCCGGTTTGACCGGAAGTGACGTCGACGGACGGAAAATTAAGATTTAAGCTTCCAGTGACATATGTTACCCAAAAACCTGTCAAGAACAGCAAAAATATGCAATTTTGGACTACTTCCGGTTTGACCGGAAGTGACATCGCCGGACGTATTTCGACGACGCCATTCGATAAAGCTTGATATTTAGAACAACTTTGCTTCTTTGACGTATTACAAATTCTCAATACTTTTTGAGATATAAAGGAAAAACTTTCGGCCCCTTTTGGCCCTTTATTGTAGAGGCCAGCCCCTTTTCGTTGATATCTTTCGAAAGATCGTGACATTCTTCACAACTTTTGTTCTATATGTCTTTACAAAATATTAACGTGTAAAAAGATATTGCAAAAAATGTGTTAAAAATTTCTAAATTCCCAATAGGTCTTTTTTCGAGCCATAGCGAGCGCCGACGTGCGGCACTTCCGGAAAAAAAACAGTGGTGTGTGACAAAAGAGCACACATTGCTCTATCATCGCTGAAAATCTTTCATGTTTCTGTCTTAAGGCATTTTCGAGAAAAATGATGGACAATGACCCTTAAAAATCACTAAATCGCGGAAATCTCAAAACCGGAAGTGATGTCATCAAAACAAAAAAATATATATCAGGTTTGTTTAATGTTCTATCAGTCCTGAAAGTTTCATCAAAATCGAACGAGCCGTTTCCGAGAAATCGTGCACACAAAATCGGTAAGAAAAAAAACAATAATAATAATAACTAGAGCAAAGCTCGTTGCAAAGCAACGAGTGGGTCTTCCAAATCTTAGCAATAAGCAAAAAGTGAAATGTTCAAATGTCAACTTTCCTACCATTCTTTATTTCTTTGACTCAAACAGCAAAAACTCTTTCTTAAAGTCTGATTCTGGAGTGAGCACAAGGATAAACAAAGATAAATAATCCAAAGGTAATCTCTCCAACACCATTGCAACTGTACCTACAAAATTTATACATCCTCATATTTTGACTCGTAGACATATACTATCACCTATGATGCAATCATATTAGTGAAGTGTTTTATGCTACGGATATATCAGTGTTTTGATATATCATCAGCTAAAAAAATGCTTTAAAAACATTTACACAGTATAATTAGATAGTATTATAATAGCCCCAATGTGTTCCTGATAAACTATCTCCATTTTTTGTCAGGTCAGAAAGAGACCAATACTTTTACGAGAAAAACAAAGGGATGTTTTGTGCAGACCTCCACTGGCAAATGCTGGTATCTCAATAAGAGTGTAGAAAAGTTCTCTGAACAGGACATTCAACAAAGAGATCTCTTTATAAAAGCACTGCCCTTCATATGAATTTTATTCCCCTACACTAAAGAATGCTCTGTGCCAAGTTTAACTTAAATTGTCCTGTGCCTGTGGTTCTGAGAAGAACATGAAATTTTGATGAATTTATTCAAAGATGATAATGGGTGACTTTTATTTAAAAAAAAATTACTACAGCATTAGCTCATATGAGTTAAACTGTATACAGATTTAGTACTTTGTTGACTTTTAAATATAATTGGACATCTCTTTGATCTTATGTTTGAAACAACATGCACATGTCCTTTGTGCTGAAAAATGCACATATGTTAATGGTGTAGTTGTTTGTGCCAAGATAGTAACTTTCCTTCCATAATACTGTAAAAATACATATATAATATCTTTTGCTGCTGAAGACAGAGCTTTATCATCTTAACCATTAACACTGGTATGCCTTCCCTTAGAAATGGAAGACCTTAATACAGGTCTATGTAAACATGCAAGATCTGACACATTTAAAAAGAACATTTATTCCAAACTAAACATATAGATTCTGTAACAAAATCTATTTCTCTTGAAAAACTGAAAGCAGTTGATATATTCATATTTGTCAAATTGTGGATTTATGTCTTTTTCTCAAATCAAAATTCGAATATGCTATATTTAAAGTCATCTTCCTAAACTGAGACTGTTTCACATGACAGTTTCAATTTCATTACGCTGTTTATACTTTGTCATCTGATCTCCAAACAGATGCTCTTCTGGCAAATCAGGATCATGCGTGGCAGCAAATTTCAGTACTCAGATGACAGTCACAGTCACACCTATAAAAAGAATTTGAAATTTTTCATTGATTTTTTTTTTTAGAAAGTGCAACTTATAAAATAAGATAAACCATCAAACTGAATTCAAAGATACTATCACTTTTTCTGCATGTGTATTACTTGTAAAACTACTCTATAATAATTTATGAATATAGGTTAACAAGCAGTCATTTGAGGATGTTTTAAAATAAAACATTTTCATGATTTCAAATAAAGGAAATGTACGATACTTGTTCATTTAAAAAATTATTAGGAATGGTAATGGTTAACAGTTGTTAAATGATTAATCAGTCAGAAAGATGGTAGGGGTATTTGGTTATGATTTTTATGTGTCAAGATAAATCTATTTGTAAAGGTGATACATTAGGCACAGTGTGCTAATGAAGTAACAAAAGTCCCAAAACACTATCGCATAAGGAACGATGAGCTAGCGCAAAGTAAAAATGCAGCTCTAGCTCCTTTATAACACCATGCTATACAAAGTTTATGACAACATTCTGGCCAGTTTAAGACACTTACAAGGTAGCATGAAGTAAAAATGTGCTACAACACTTATGACGATGGTCTAGTGTGTTTATGACAACACAATGACAATGTACTTGTGCATTGTAACAATGTTGCAGCAGGCTTTTACACCACACAGTCAAGATTACATGTAATAGATTGTGTAAAGCTGTGTTGGCATGGCAGCATATTTTGTGTCAGCACAAGTGCATGTTATTTTAAGTTGCCTTAGCCTGTGTTAGCACATTGTTCCTAAACATGCTGAAGCACTTTTACAATTAGCCTTATCTGGACACCATAATTTTCATAACCAACTAGCCATGTTTTTTTGTAAAAGTACATGTACCAGGGTACATGTAAATCATTTTTTTTTTAGATTTCCATATGTTCTAAAAAGACAAGGAATAAAATGATATTTTCTATAAGCTTCTATTCATTATAAGTGTTTGCCAAAGCATTTTTTCCTATATAACCAAAATACATCTTTGTCTTAAAAATGGTAGCCTAGTGGTAGGGCATTCCCTTTATATAATCCTGAAGTTTAGCTTGATTTCTAGCCGGACTCATTGCTACGAAGTTCAACAGGAAATGCTGCTTCATCACTGATGCTTAATCAAATTTACACATTAAAATATAGTACATTTGCGCAATCAAATTTGAGGCAATACAAACACTGATTACAGAATTAAATTTTCAAAGTTATCAGAAATTGTCAAAAAATAATTATAATAATGTACTTTCTACAGTCTTCTTCAATTAATTATTTGTTTAAAATATGCAAAAGGTTTTCATCACTATGGATGTGTGCGCCATATTCTATAAATAAAGGTTGTATTGTCAGTCTAACACAAATGCGGTAAACATCATTAATTACTTGATGTACGCTTTGATGCAAATTCTCAGCTGAGGACACATCAGTGCATAATCGTTTGACCTTAATTAATCTTGCTGCATTAGTGTTTATTTACTTCTGTTGGTATATAAATCCCTGAAACCGCCTCAAACGATACATGTGATGAATATTTTTTGCTGTTAAATTCTATAATAATTTTATTTAATTTTAAAACTTTTTAATACTATATATATGCCATAGAGATATTTTTGTGGATAACATATCCTCTCAATGTCTGAATTTGTTTTTAAACTCTCATCACGGTCTTTGTTCATTACCCTGTAAATGAGCCCAGCTTTCAGTACTTCTGAGTACTTTGATTATTCACTGCATCAAACCTAAGACAAAAACATGATGCAGTAATGTTACTTAACCATGCACCCAGCATTTGAAGTGAATGAGACCTTAAAAACCTCATAGTACATGTTAGGACAATGTCACTGAGTTCCAAATAAAGGTCTAAATAAAAACTATTTACCGGTATATATTAACACCTCTAAATGAGTGAAGGAGTGAAAATTCTCAAATAACATTACCAATCAAAGAAGCTGATTCTTACATCACAGGTTCCAATCCCATTGCTAAATGCTTCAGACGGGTTACTCCAATGAGACCGCATACACCGAGATTCAGTGTCAAAAGGATCCCTTACTTCTCAAAGGCAATAAGTGCTGAGTACAAGTCTGTATTTGCAGCTTACTATCCCAAGTGGTGGCATCATCAAATGACTGGAAAATGTTTGATAGGCCAATAATCAAACAAACCATTCCTGCAGTCATCTAAAAATAAGCAAACTTTCTATTATTACAATTGTTTTAACAAATTTCTTTTGCGATTTAACTGAGCAACATTTGTGCAATTTTTTGTCAATAAATTTTAATACTAAAGACTTTGTTTGAACAGCTATTTATAGCAAGTACAGACAGCAGCACGAAGCGCTGCTCATAATGCAAGCTCTCATGACAACGCCTTGGTGAAGAGAAAATTATCACTTGCTTATTGATCCACACAATTTCTTTTCCGCAGTAACTTTGGACCCACAGTGCTTTGATTCTTTAAGCTACATTCTTGCAAGAATTGATCAAAAGTTTCCAAAAAATAAATTCACCTTGATTTAATGGATAAATTGCAGATAAATAGTGGGGGAAAAAATTCTTCATTAAAGTCAGCACTATTCAAGATTTAGACTTACAGGTAATGTCAGGCCTAACTTACACCACGACATCGTGTGACTTCAAAGTCTAGTGCCCTGTTCACATGGAGAGTTTAATTCGCAGTAAATGATTGCAAAGTAAACTAATGTGAATCAAACTAATGGGAATCAAACTGTGTTAACATGACATCTAATGCGAATTAAATAAATGCGAATAAAAATTTTACTTCTACAGTCAAGTGTCAGTAAAGCTATCCACTCAAAAATAGCACAATTAAGTACTTAAAGCTGACCACCAACATCTAGCATTTGAATTAATTTTGCCATTACAAATGCCTCAAAATTTAATTCGAATAAGCTTCCCTTTGTGTTCACATGGAGCTAATGCAAAGTAATTTAATTCGCAGTAAATTAATTCGAATTAATAAAACTAATTTGAATTAAACTCCCCCTGTGTACAGAGCATCAATGCACCAAATATCAAGTGCGGTTTGACAAGCCCGATCTAAATTAAAACTGAATAAGTATCTGCCCTCACCCAAACAGTCACACCGTCAACATATTGTTACAGTGTATATTCAACAAATAATAGAGAGGTTGAGATTTCAAACGTGTACGTGTACGGGTACGTCTAGTAGGGTAATAACCTAAATTCTGTGTGTATTACGTCATCAATTTTAGTGACGTCAAGATTGCAATAAGTTCTTAAAACTTGTAGAATGGAATCTACACGTAAGTGAAAACGTGTAGCTTTAATAATAAAAATTAGCCAATTTAAGTTTGAAAATGTGATTGTTATGCATTATATAGGATGTTTACTTTCACAAGCACTTATTTTCATCAAGTTTTGTTTACTAACTGACGACAAAAAACCTTCTAAATAGTTGAAACAGAGACACCGATCGCGGTGTACACGTACATGTTACACGTCATAAAAATCTCAACAGACAAATTAAAAAAAAACGTGTACGTGTACTTCAAAATATATACAAGTACACGTACGCGTACAAGTTTAAGATCTCAACCTCTCTATTAAGTGTAGTGTAAATTACCCCTCCATGGACACTGCGGTATTGCTCTTTTGCAGGGCAAAATAATAACGTTTGGCAAAGTTTTTGTTGAGAGATAATTAAATGACATATATTTAACAATTACTTATATGTCATATTTCACCAAACTATATCATTTTGCCCTGCAAAAGAGCAGTACCGCAGTTACCGTGAAACGGTCTATAAGAGTATCACTATGATGGATAGTGGAGTGTTGAATTTTTTGTTTTGAAAGTGAGTCTTGTTGAAATTAAATGCTCACATATATTTAAATAAAAAATAAAAAGCTGTTGGGATTTTAAAAGGCTAACAGAAAGCGTCTGAGCCTTAAAACAGATAATGTATCGGCGTGTCTGTGTATTTTTAAAAATATTAATGCTCTAACAGCTGTCTAAGCTGCCATAGTAATTTAAATTTTAGGTAAAATAAATTTCTAACCTTCATTCCGATAGTCCATGCCAATCAAACTTTAAAATGTCACCATCGACTTTTTCATCTCTCGATACATTTATCACTGGGAACCACGAACCAGAGTCAAGAGTGCTCAGCTTGTTAATTTAACAGTCGGAATTTCCTCGTAAACAATTCACACAAAAATTTATAAATCGGATAATTCTTCTGAAAATAATGCTCCAGAGGATTGATAAAGTACTTCGTAGCTGCAGATTAAATGTGCGTGCATGTCTACATACGACCTGTGGCTTGTGTGGTAAGAAATGCTCAACTTCACATGATTTGAGTGATATACAGATCACCATCAGATAGTTCGGAAGAAACCGGTAGAACTTTAAGGAACTTGATCAGTGAAGTATCAAAGCTAAACTTTACCCACCATTTACTGATGGGAGATTTTAACTACCCTGGAATTAATTGGGAGATGATGACATCATCAAACATTCATTCAGAAGAGCAGAAGTTCCTTGAGTGCTTACAGGATAACTTTTTATTCCAAATGGTAAATAAACCAACGAGATGGAGGGGAACTAATACACCAAATGTGCTAGACCTGATATTAACCAAGGACCCGGACACAGTAGTAGATATGGAACTACAAAGTCCCCTTGGAAAAAGTGACCACTGTGTCATCATATTCAGCTATGTGTGCAGAGTGGATGTCAAGAAAACAAAGAAGAAGAGAAAAAGTTACAGCAAAGCTGACTATGTAGGACTAAAGGGTGAAATTAAGCAGATAAATTGGAGGCATATTTTGGAGAATGGCTCTGAAAACATAGATGAAATATGGACAAAATTTCGTGGAAAGATGGAGGATCTAGAGAATAAGTATGTACCTACTTATGAAATTGGAAGGAAGAAAAACCAGCAAATTCCCTTGGATAAAGAAACTCTAAATGTCATTAAAGAGAAGAATGCCTTGGCACGCAAGTACCTGGTACACAAAGATCCAGATGTTAGAAGAAACTATAATCGTACTCGAAACAAAGCAGGGAAACTAGTAAGGAAGGCTAGGAAGAAATACGAAAAAAATCTAGCAAAGGAAGCAAAGAGTAATCCTAAGAGAATATGGCAGTATATCAACTCAAAGAGTAAAAGCAGACAAGGGATTGCAGATTTATGCACCGACCCTAGAGATCCAAAATCAGAAAAAACGGATGATGATGAAACAAAAGCTAACATTTTAGCGGATTTTTTTAGTAGTGTTTTTACCAAAGAACCAGATGGTGAAGTACCACAACTTAAAGCCAGAAACATCCAAATTCAATGGGAACAACGTTACATAAAGGAAGAAACTGTTAAGAAAATACTCAGAGAACTTAAGGTGGACAAATCTCCAGGATTAGACAATTTTCATCCAAGGTTTTTGAAGGAACTACATGAGGAACTGTCGGTACCACTAACTATGATATTCAATAGATCATTGGAGGAAAGAAGGGTTCCAATGGAGTGGAAAAAAGCCAGAATAAGTGCTATTTACAAGAAAGGGAACAAGTCCTTAGCAGGAAATTATAGACCTGTGAGCCTCACATCAGTTGTGTGTAAAACAATGGAAAAGGTAATGCGGGATCAGATCACTGAACACTTCATAAGGAATGATCTATTTACAACAAGGCAGTATGGTTTCATGGGAGGGAGGTCAACCGCACTACAATTACTCAGAGTCTTAGATGAATGGACGGAGGCATTAGATCAGGGACATACCATAGATTGTATATATATGGACTATCAGAAAGCATTTGATACAGTTCCTCATAGACGTCTTATCAGCAAGCTGAAAGCATATGGAATAGGACTTGAAACTATTCAGTGGATCCAAGACTACCTAAGGGATAGAAAACAACAGGTTACAGTGAATGGGAGAAGTTCCGAGTGGCATGATGTAACATCCGGCATCCCACAAGGCTCCGTCTTAGGACCGATATTGTTTGTAATATTCATAAACGACCTACCAGAGATCGTCGAGTCAATGGTATACCTTTTCGCAGATGATACAAAGATTTTTAAAATTGTGAAAGAAAATGGAGACCAGGAAACACTGCAAAGAGATCTTGAAAAACTCGCTCAGTGGAGCAACACTTGGTTGTTGAAATTCCATCCTGAAAAGTGTAAATATATGCATATAGGAAAAAAGTCTTCACAAGAGGTGACATACAAGTTATTAGGAGAATCTTTAGAGCGTGTTCAGGAAGAAAAGGACATAGGAGTAATCATCGACGAAAATTTAACCTTTGAGAAACACATATGCGAGAAAGTAAAGAAAGCCAACTCGACATTTGCCATGATTAGAAGGATATTTCAACATTTAGATGAAAATACATTCATTCCGCTCTATAAATCTCTGGTTCGAACACACTTGGACTATGCAAGCTCAGTCTGGTTCCCATACAAAACTAAATATATTGAGATGGTGGAGGGAGTGCAAAGAAGGGCAACAAAGCAGATACCTGGAATGTCAGATCTTACCTATTCTGAGAGACTGAAGAAGCTCAAACTACCAACACTCAGCTATAGAAGACACAGAGGAGATATGATAGAGATATATAAAATTACGAGTGGAAAATATGACACAAAAGCAGCCAACTTTGTGAAATTTAGGAGAGATCATGTAGGGAGAGAAACTGCAAGGGGGAATTCCAAGCAACTATTAATCCAGAGAGCCAGATTAGATATCAGAAAATATAACTTCACCCTGAGAGCTGCTAAGATCTGGAACAGTCTACCAGAGGATGTTATAAGTGCGAAGACTACTAATTCTTTCAAGCAACGTTTGGATAAACACTGGGAAAATCAAGACATTTTATATGACTATAAGGCTACAATATCCGGAAGTCACGTAGTGAGTAATACTAAAACTGAAGTAGGATATAGGGAGTCCAATGAAGAGGATCCTTAGGGAGCCTGAATTGGAAACCAACGATAAGTAACGATAAGTATTTCCAACTTTCAGTTTGTAAGGTATCACACCGGTAATTGACCAATCAAAATGAACTTAGTCAAATGTAGGTCCATATATATAGAATTAATTTTCTTTTCTTTTGAGGCGTTTTTCTATTTTCTTCCATGCCACTTTTACAACTTTGGTACCTGTGCCTAGTAAATTTTATGTACTTTGTGAATAAATAAAGGTTTTGGACAGGAACTATTTTTTTCATGGCATAGGAGGCTACTTCCTGTAGTGCACTCGAGGTGTTTATAAACACAGTGAAAACACGTGGATTTGAGGGTAGCCCTGTTTGCAGATGGAAAAAGTCCGAAAATGCCGTGTGGGTACCCTGTTTTTTGGTGTCAGCTAATGTGACAGGTAATGTTTAACACCTTCTGCTAAATATTTTTTCATGTAAACAAATACCTGATTTTTAACGATTTTTTATTCTATATAGAATTATATAGTGAAAACAATTACCGGTGTGATACCTTGAAGGTGATTGTGAAAAATCATTTTAATCCTTATTAAAGACATTTTTCATTTTTAAAACGCATATTTCAACAAAATATGTGATTTTATTAACTTTTTGTTTAAAAAAACAAAATATTAAAATTAGAATTAGAATTTACATTATTTTTCACAGATTTCTGTTTAAAAATTAACAATAGGTCATATTTTACACTCAATACTTTCAAATATGACTAAAAAGGTAGCATTATGCATCTAAAATGTGGAAAGAAGTCAGAGAATATTGTTTTTTCATTTTATATGACTTAACATTATTTGCACCAGCTGACCGCAGTCAATTATAGTGTCTACAGACTTTGCGGTAAAGGGTGTTAAAGCTGATTTTTCAAGAATAGACTAATTCTAGGTTTGCGAATGAATTTTTAGCATAAGCGACAACTGCGATAAAATGTAAACAAGTAAAAATGTTTTCACAGAATGATAATTTCTACAGAAACATGATTTATTTTAATTTATTCAGACCTCCAGTGATACATACATTACTGCATTGGAAGAACAGAAATAATGAAATGAGTCAGATCTGTCTAATAAACTTAATACATAAGATACATTAGTAAAATTCATTAAGAATTTATCAAAGTAAGGAAGGTTATGACCAAAAAATCCTGAAATACTGTCAAGGTCTGCATGATAATACTTATTCTGAGTTCTAACCATGCATCATACATGTAGTGCAGAATGTCACTTAGCAGCATGGCATGCCTTTTGTGGTTCTAAGGACTTTATTTATGCTTTCGCAGCTGACATTCATGTTTTTTCAGTTTGTCGGAGACTGTTTTTTGTTATTTTTTCATTTATATGTAGGTGTTGACTGTCACTTTTGAATTAAGTCTCAGTCAGTGATGCTTATATGAGCATGATCTACTAAGTATATCATTGTACTGAAATATTAATAAATTCCAAATTTAACTGATGAAGAAATTTGGCATATTTACATAACTGAAATATCAGAATAACTATAAGTCAGCTAATAAGGTGCACATTTCTTCTCAGATCACTTCCTATAAATTTTATCAACAGTTTTGGTACACCCACCCACCTCAAAGAATCATGGAGGATGTACGTCCTATAACCGGTCTCTGTGATGCATTTTGTCTCATAGAAAAGTGTTCAAACTCATTAAAATGTTTAATATTTAAATTTTAAAATCTAAATGTTCATTTTTTTATGTAAATTTGTTGAAACAAAAAGATATAATCTTGCATAAATCATGGAAATTCATTAAACACCTTTGGAATTCCTGAATAAATCCATGAAAAGAGAATAATTATGCATGTTAAATTGAAATTTCATGGCTAATTTGTGCCTTAAGAGAAAGCCAGTTGCATAAATCACAACAATAAATTACATCTGAATTGTTGTCTCCAGGTTCTTATCATCAAAGCCAGTTTAATGGAGTGTGGGAGCTGTGAAGAACCTCCCTAGATGCTGATATCATTTTGACTGCCCTGAGTTACAACACAGCATTTAGATAAACTTCTGCACAGCAGCTTGTAGACACATACCTAGGCTTTATTTGGAACATAAATTGACCAGATACAGTGTTCATTATCAACCCAGTATTTAACAATT